TGGGATTCCATAGTACAATGCCAACATTCCTGTCTTATTAAATTGGAACTTTAAAGATTGCTCTGCCTTAGACTCTGATTTAATTCTGCATGATATTTGGAACGCTGACAAATATCTTTAGAGAAGGTATATGATAACATACAGAGACACAATCTACTGCATGCCGTAAAAAAAAACCCCAGTTTAGTTCAGTCTATTAATCACAGTATTTTTAGCAGCCGAAATTCGTGACGGAAATAAGCGACCCTCTGGGGACTGGCTTTCACTTTCATTTTTCACATGCATCATTCTCATCAGCTATCAGAATGACATCTTACAGTTATGAAAACATTTTGTCCAATCCAAAGTTAAGGCAAGAAGAACTGCATGTTTCTATTAATTGAGCAATTCGCTTTGATCATCAACAAGATAAGTGTAAGTAAAAAGGATAGTTATAAAAGGAGGGGGGGCTTCTTAGGATTGTAACATATGGGGAAATGAGGAGGGTCTATTTTCCCTAACTTCTCTATTCTAAATCTTGGTGCTGATATCAGATTTCTTTCGGAGAATAGCAACTACTGCAGGGGGAGATATTCAAAAGACTGCAGGGTGTATATGCATGAAGAAGAGTTAAACCCTGCCCCCAACTATTATTTCTAAGAAGAAAACAAACAAAAAGTGTACATTTGTATTTTGATTTATTTACTTAGCATAAAAAGTCATAAAAGGGAGAAAGCTTCTAAGTTCCCCAAAAGATCTCAAAAATTATATTTCTAGTAGGTGGAGTTAAATACGTAACTAGAGGTAATGTTATTCAAATATCAACCAAATATAATGACTTAATTGCCCAAGAAAGGGTTTCCCTATTATGATAACAATTATCTTGTGATTGTAAACTCCATGTCTAGATTTTAATACTATATTTTTTGGTCAATTCTGTATTATTTTCTTCTTTTTCTTTCTTCTATAGGAAAAGTGTGTTTTTGGCAGTTGGTCAAATAATTTGGATATCTGAATCTAATCCCATATTTTGTCATAAAACTATGACGATGTGAAGTTGTCATGGCTTCCAAGTTGGCCTTGTTGCCTTGCTATACTGCTTAAAGCATTTTGGTGAACTAGAAACTGCATTTTTCACATTATCTGCAAATTAAGGATGTTGTCTTAATATAGAAGCTGAAATTTTATTAACCTATAAGATGCATCAACAATCATACAACAAGTTAACCTTCATTTACTTTTAGAACACCCAAGTGGTAAGTAACAACCATTCCTGCCCTGGAATAAGGAGGACATCGTATTTTGATAGTGTACCAAATAGGGCATGTCAAAAGCTGATAATTTGTCTCAGTCCCAAAAATATACAAATTGCCTGTTCTGGAGTTGTATCCATTTCTATATTGTGAGCAAAATAAAGCAGTTGAACCCTATAGGAGCAAAACCAACAAAGATGTTAATCTTTAACTGTTCTGTCAACTATAATGGGGGAAAATATACAACAATGGGGTAACAGTGACATATTCCAGCTTAATCCTCCAATTTTTGTTGGAAATCCTTATGTGCAGTATGCCCCACATTTCACTTACCCATCTTTGGCCAAATGGTGCCTAAAGAAATCATTGGCAGCTAACTTGATGGCTTTTTCTGGAGTCACAAGTGTTAGATTCACTGCAGCCCCTGGATAAAAACAGAAGAATTCACAGAGCTTAGTGATTTAAGGGATTTTAAAGCATCTTTGCTTTAAAACAATCAATTGGGCTCAAAACAAAAAGTGAATCCTAGGAGTGGTATCTACACACAGGAAAAGTTGTGTTATATGATTAGCAGCCAGCAAATGACAATAGTGTTGCCACTTATCTTCTTTCTTATATTGTGTGGTAACTGTGCTACATAAAGACAGTTCTACATTCATACACTGGAAGACAGTTAAACTGCAAAGGAATTTTGTTAGCACATTTTTTTAAAGAGAAAGTACAATTCTTTCCCATCTTTCCCATCAGCTGTGGTTAATCCTTGGACAAGGTAGGACAGTTGTCCCCAGAGCCATATATATTAGAATCCAATTGCTGTTGCAAAATTCACTGGCAAAAGAAACAGTGTTCTTCATTAGATAAAGCCAGAAATAGCCAGTGAGAATTCCAGAAACATTTATCTTGGCCCCGTTTGTTTGTTTGAATATACAAAATAGGTCAGCTTTGTCACCACATGTTAAAAGGACCTGTTACAGTATTCCTTTCAAAACATTTTGACTCAGTCCAAAATCCAGGCATGTTAATGGTAGATTCCTCCAATCTCCTTAAGAGGGGTGAGTACAAACTGGAAGAACTACTTTAAATCTTATTTATTATGTATTTGCTTAGGTGCCCTAGGTAAGCCACCTCCAACAACTTACACTGCGGAAGATAGGCTTAAGCTACAGAAGGATCTTGACAGGCTTGAATATTGGGCACTATCTAGCAAAATGAAATTCAATGCTAAAAAAGTAAGGTTCTATATTTAAGCAAGAAAAACAAAATGCACAGGTACAGTATATGTGGTACCTTGCTCAATAGTTGTAACTGTGAAAGGGATCTTGGAGTCCTAGTGGACAACTATTTAAATATGAGCCAGCAGTATGCAG